TCTTTTAGGTACAACTGTTCTAGTACTTCCATTCTTATTAGGTACAATTCAACATTTGAAATCATAAATATCATTGTTTTTTGATGATGCAATAAGCGCAAGAATAAATACATTGGGAGTCGGGTACATGATCGAGTTTTGTTCGTGAACTTTATTCGCAGGTGTTAACATTACAGGTTTCATAATTTAATTGGCTATCAAAATATTAATTAGGAGACGTAGCGAAGGAAATGAAGAGAATTTCACTGCACGTATCTTCATTTACCCACTTTATTTAAAAAGTCACATAGATAAAATGCTCATCAACTCCAGATTTTTATTTAAATTTAAAAAATGCAGCAATGAAAAATTTAGGCTTGCATTTACTGTAGACGAACACAGCATGGTTCAAAAATTTATACCACCTCCTGAAATGCCATTTTATGCTCAGGTAGTCTGTTAAATCCGAGTAGTAAGTGTTGATAGTTTTCATTAAACATGTATAAAAACATTCAGAAGGATTGTTTTTAAAAGGCAAGCAAGACAATAGGGAGCCTTAATTACATACCAACTAGAGGCGCATTCAAGGCTGCCAGGCTCAAAAATTCACCGCAATTATGCTGGATAATTCCGAACACACGCCAGTCAAAAAACTGAATTGGCAATTAAAGGCCTATTGAGTTTTCGTTGAACTTGAATGACTTTCAGGATAAGAAAACGCCGAGTTCGTTGAACCCTACGCCGGCTTGTTCAGTTTTACGCTAAATGCAGAGAATGGAGATCAAGAAATTCGGAAAGCCTTCTCAGGCCGCTAATTTTCCACGCATTCAACACGAAACTAACGTTTAGCAAGGCAATCTGTATTAGTAAACTAGCGCATCACACGTGAGCTCAAAATTGAAAGACGAAAACTTCTAAAAACGAATAAAACCATTTAATTTAATAATCTATAAAGCCACTCAATATTCTATAAAGCTACTAAATTTAATACAAAAAATCCGATGCATTCTACTGTTTGGGTGCCATTTAACTATTAAAGTTAAATATTTATTGCCGCCTCAATTTAATTTCACGCAAAGTGCAACGGCACGTCTCATTAGATTGTACTATAGAATTCGATAATTTGTTAAGACTTACTGCAGGAGAATATTTATCAGAAATATTGCCATTCCATCAAGACGTTTCCACTTTACAACGACATTTTTATATCAGAAATATTTTTTCATATCAGAAAGATTATTGTCATTTTATAAAGATTTTCTCAAATTTTAGCGAGATTTTTCGATTGATGGTCTTTGTTCAGATAATTATACTAGGCTGGTGCACATCAACAAGCAATGCAAAAATCAAACAGAAGGGACAAAAAAAGTCCCAGGCTACTGAGCGATCCTTGACTGGGCGGTAAAGCGATAAGAACCGAGAATCAAACACAGATTGATTCTTCGCCAGGCTACTAAGCGATCCTTGACTGGGCGGTAAAGCGATAAGAACCGAGAATCAAACACAGATTGATTCTTCGCCAGGCTACTGAGCGATCCTTGCCTGGGCGGTAAAGCGATAAGAACCGAGAATCAAACACAGATTGATTCTTCGCCAGGCAACTGAGCGATCCTTGCCTGGGCGGTAAAGCGATATGAACCGAGAATCAAACACAGATTGATTCTTCGCGTAACCCGAGCCTCAGAAGTCAGCTGGTCGTGCGACTGCCTGGCCATCGGTAATCCCTCTGTTGTGTGAAGCCACGCACCAACACATAGATGTACAAACAAGCACTTGCGTTTCATTACACGCACGCAGACGTGAACTTGTCCATCATTACACGTAAACAAACACGCAGTTGTTCATTACACACAAGAAGACACGCACATTCCCATTTACACGTAGTACAGCCTATCTTACAGCAGAGTAATTAATACGTACCAGTATCGTTACAAAGAAAAATATATATAAGTCAGTATACTCACTGCAGTGAGTGACAGAGAGCGCATTTTCTCGTCGACGAAAACTTGAGGTCACGGACGGACAGACAGACAGACGGACATGGCGAGCATATTAGTGCATTTTTTCCATAAATGAGAAAATTCGCTAATAATATCAAAAGCCAAATAACAAGAAAAAAACTTCATCACTTAATACTGTAAATAACTGAACAGAAATCAGGGAAATACTTAATAATAAAATTAAATTATATGTTAAAGTAACTATATTCATGCACGCTTATTATTATTTGTTAAATGCAGAGCTGTCACTCAGTGCACAAACAATCAAAAATTTGTTCGTATACAAGTGCACTAACAATTTACAAATTATTGGTGCTTACAAGAAAGTTTTTGTAATCAATCTTTTTGTTTTTTCGCTATCAAAGGTTCCACATAATAAATAAAATACAACCAACTTAGGAATATTTAAATTGGTTTTTACGTTAACATGTAACCTGCTTTCTTCACACGATAATGATACAAAATTCATGAATGACATAAATATGTCTAGTCACGCAAATTTTTTGTATACATAGTATATGATGAACAAACTACGTACTGATTTATTTTTAATCTATAGAAAAAATATTGATCGAAGTCAATGAGAAAATTTGTTGAAATCACATGCACTGTAATTGTCCCCACAATATGAATTTGCTGAAAATTTGTTCAGAAACCTGTTATTTCTCATTTATTTAACGTCCATTGAAATTGTGTCAACTGTTCTTTGAAAATTTCTCTGAGAAATACACGAATGAACTAAAAATAAAAATAAATTCACTGTGAGACGACCAGTATGGGTGAGTTAAAACATTGTTAAGAAAAATACATTTTTAGTCAAAAAAATTGCTTTTTAAGATCAAATGGTTTCTCACCGTCAAGTCCCGTGCAATTCAACACTGAGAGAAATGGGCGGGTCTGGATGACCCACTTTGATGAGTCAACCGCGTCCGAAAATCGATACACTTTTTTGACTCACTTGCCTCATTTGTGGGTCATACTGACCCATTAAATTCCAGGCATGACTCACTTGTGACGTCAAATCCTTTATGATGCCGCCCGTAGCATGGATACGTAGTTAGCATCTGAGCGTCAGAGCGATTTAACGCCACAAGTGAGTCATGCTTGAAATTTAATGGGTCAGTATGACCCACAAATGGGGCAAGTGAGTCAAAAAAGTGCATCGATTTTCGGACGCGGTTGACTCATCAAAGTGGGTCATCCAGACCCGCCCATTTCTTTCAGTGAAAACGTGTTTCAACATCCCGTATATACGATAAAGTTAAGCAACTTGGTGGTTGATATCGATGCTGAGCAGGGCATATACTTTCAAAAAAGTTAAGATATCGTAAGTTCATCAGCCAATCATTGACGGCCGTTCAAGCCAAATCCACCAATCATAGACAAGAAAATAGAGCTTAAGTACTTACGTTCACTTAGCGAGTTTTGAAAGTATGGCCCCAGGAATATAGAGCCCGATTACATTAAATCATACGATGCACCACTGTGCATCACATGATCATTACAATTTTATAAGAATTTCTATTCATTCGAATTCCGCAAATGATAATAAAGCTGATATCTGCTGATTGAAGAGGTCAAGGGTAGAAGCCTGATGCAAAAAGCTCATCCGGTGCACACCTCACGGGGAAAGTTTATTCAATGGAACTTACAATATACGTATAACGCGATAATACTTCTCAATTGTTCGGATCATTGCTCATATTTCAAATTATAACTAAGCATGCACTGTAAACCTATGAACTGCGCCATTAGAATTAAGGATTGGAGAGAACTGTAGCTGCTAGCGTTATCGAGACACCGAATGGCGTCATTCCATTTCGGCATCACAGTTACAATAAAAGTTAGCGGATGTTTATTTAATTAATGAAGTTGAATCCTAATCATGTAAATACTTCAAAAGTCATGTAACTGTCAATTGTGCCAAATAATGGATTAGTTTATCGACGTGATAAAGTAGATCTGGCTAAATATTTGGACTCGATTTCCGAAAGAGTAACAAGAGTTTTGATTAGACCTAAGCTCATATCTTTTCTATCGTTATACTCTTCAATTAAGTTCCATTGCGTCCTCAGTCTATTCTTGGTAGCCTTTTCTATTGAAAGTGATTAAATGCTTGTATTCCGAACAGGTCTTGGTTAGTTTGCATTATAATACTGGCATTATGATGACGCTTACTAATTACAGCACCTACCTTCTAAGATTCTGGCTTGAATCCAGCATTAATACTTACATCCTTCAATGCTATTAATTTCCCAACTTCAACCCAACCTACGCAATTGCTTACCTATAAATCAATGAGATATCTGAACTTCTTCATACCTAACGCAGGGAAATCCGTACACATTGCTTACATTGCATCGATTGCATTGCAAAAGTCAAGGCCAGTTCAATGGACAATTGGTTTACTGGCGCTTACGGTATTTTTTTCTATCTGGCAGCGAAATACACGAACAAACATCACTAAAAAAGGTCGACGGTTTCAATAATCGCAAATTAAACAAATACAAAATTATGAATCCTTCACAAGGAGCGGAATGTTTCAAGTCCTCAGCCCCTGGAGCCGGCAAAAATAAGCTGCGTTAGCATCTCAAATATACAAAGGGACAAGTAGGGACAAGTGAACAGCAACAGAAGCGAAGACACTCGAACAAGAGGTCGCTTACACGGGACGTCGGCCGCCCGCACGAGAGCGACAGAAAAGGAAAAATTTAATGAATCCTTCGAACATAACAATCCGCCCCCACACCTGCTCTTCAACCCCTCAACTGCCCTGCCAACATAACAACTTTAATATACTAACAGGAACATTACGGTATCCATAGAAAAGCGAAATCCCTTAGTATTTCTTACGAGCACAGACACGCATCAGAAACCCAACTGAGGTGGTTTCTTCAGTTTATTAATCTAGCATCATAAAAAAATAATGTTAAAATATTCTTTTTGATACAAAATCCAGAAATATTAGGAGAAACACAATGTTAAAATATTCTTTTTGATACAAACTCCAAAAATATTAGGAGAAACACAAGATGCAAAAAGTTATAATATAGCAATAATGTTTCTATGGACGACTTAAAGATTGTTTCAGTCTTGACTGGTGAGTAGCTAAAGTCTAGAGAAATAGCATTTTTCAGTGGTTTGTTCAGCTGTAAGCGCACAAAAAAAGATTGAGATCAGTGAGAACTTAATACTAAATCATCCAAGAGAAGAGTCAAATGTTAAATTGTAAAGGCACTTACATTATTTTACGCTGGCCATCATCATAATCGACCATCATCATAATCGGCCATCATCACTCATCGTTTTTTTAGACAACCTCTAAAACTTCATACCTACGTGCAAACTACGCTGCTAACGGCGTCATCATTAGTCCGCAAAATACTGTTGTCTACACCTAAATAACGTAACCGTGACTCTACGAAAAACTAGCAATACAATACTATAACATAAATGTCAGGAAAATAACCTCGACATCAAAAAATATCATCGAAATAAATGCTTTTCGAACTATTGTCCGGCGCTGAATGGAATGGGGATCATATTCTTGAACTAGAAAATAGTATGAGAAGCATACACGAAACTTTGTGCCATATTGTCTGGACTGCGACCCTGAGACACGCGAGGTCCGATGCTAGTCGTCGAAGGGGTGAATATCATCGCCCGAGACGCATGACTTGCAATGCTAGTCGTCGAAGGGGGGAATATCATCGGCCGAGACGCATGACTTGCAATGCTAGTCGTCGAAGGGGGGAATATCATCGGCCGAGACGCAAGACCTCCGATGCTAGTCGTCGAGTGGGGGAATATCATCGGCCGAGACGCATGACTTGCAATGCTAGTCGTCGAGTGGGGTGAATATCATCGGCCAAGACGCATGACTTGCAATGCTAGTCGTCGAAGGGGGGAATATCATCGGCCGAGACTCTGCCCTCTGGGACTGGCTGGGCGTCGATAAACTTCTTCCACCATCTTGGAAATTCAGGGCGCAGTTTCTGTACCGAGAATTCGCTGCTCTCCGATTGCTGCAGATGCCAACACCAACGTAGGAACCTTTCCCCCAGATCCTGTGAACACAGAAAAAGGTTCGAACTGCCACATTCAGCACCAATAGCTATAATAACGAAATTTAGACGCAAGCACAAGAAATTTGTCATTGGAAACTATTAGAACCTGAACACAGAACCTGAACGCAGTAATTTATTTATTATCTTAATATTAATTCCCGATTAAAGAAGCTATGTAACGTGCCTTCCACTGGTTAACGCATGCTTGCGAAAGCTGTAGCCAGTCCTTGATTTGATTGATACGTTTGTGGGTTGATCGCAACATGTCCTCCTGGGAGCACTGGTCGGGCTCCCGCACCAGCTTGAAGAGCCAGAAACACGCCTTCTCCCGGATGGCCCTGATTATGATGTACCACACCGTCTTGATCTTGCACAGGCCTATAGTGTAGCAGTGCGCGTCCTTCATGTAGTACAGAACTCGGCCCTCGCAACAGCGCTCTTTACGAACCTGAGATAAATATGATACGGCATGCTGACTCACAAGAATGAAAGTTATTTTCTTGATTCGTTCAAACACCATAAATCGATTTGAATCATTTAATCGATCCACTTGTTTTCTTGATTTATTCCAGCACCTTACAGTTAACATTGGAGTAGGTACGCCTATACTGCACTGGATTAATAATTTACCATGTAAACTTCAGTGTATTCTACTGACATCATGCACAGCACCTGCCTGCAGAAGTCCCTGACGCAGTCATCCTGTGCTGAAGGCAGGATCGTGTATGTTGGAGTCTGCAGCCCAAGGGCCTTCACAAAGGACAGGAAGAAGTGCATCGGCACGGCCGTCAGGCTGTGAGGCGCCTCGAAGTCCTCAGGTATATCGTACGCTGCGAACACCTGCCCATATTAACAAGCGTCCGTGTACAGTTGCTATATCGTATAGAGTTCGTGTAGAGTTCGTGTAGAGTTCGTGTAGAGTTCGTATAGATTTCGTGTAGAGTTCGAGTAGAGTTCGAGTAGAGTTCGTGTAGAGTTCGTGTAGAGTTCGTGTAGAGTTCGTGTAGAGTTCGTGTAGAGTTCGTGTAGAGTTCGTGTAGAGTTCGTGTAGAGTTCGTCCGTGTAAAGTTGCTATATCGTACGCTGCGAACACCTGCGCATATTAACAAGCGCCCGTGTACAGTTTTACTTTTTTTGTCAGAGGGTAAATTAAATGTCGTTAATAATTTTAGTATGTAAAGGTCTGGTAACGGTAGTTCCAGTTAATAGGCTGAGCGTTGGAAATGCTGAAATTCTTTTCATTGAAGGGCATAACCAGCTTTTGGAATTGAAAGATAAAAGTAACCACTTAGTTCAACGATTCATGAAAACGCATTTGCAAATGGATGCATGTCTATGGATTTGGCAAATACAGTTAGCAGCATTAGGTTAAGGATAAAACTAAGGTGCATTAAGAATAGGCAAGACTTAAGGCATCAATAAGACAAGGCAGATAGTAGCAGCTTTACGTTGATGACGGGGCGCTCGAGATGGTCGAGAAGAACGACGTGTTGATATTCAGGTTGAGCAAGCTCACAAGTGATGGTGAAGCGAGTGTAGTGCAGGAAGTATTGCAGCAACGACCGTTTGCTCTCCTCCATTTCTGCCAGCGTTCGCATCACAGTTGTTGCCACTGTGCGAGCTGTGCTGTATCTATCACCTGGTCAGAATATAGGTTTCATTTCACCTCCAGCCGTTAGCAGCCGTTTTGGTTGCATTTCACCTCCTTCATTTCACCACGTTAGCAATAAGTCACGTAATAGTAGGAGTTGACATCATGAAGAAAAGATATAGGTGATGCTGTTAGGAAAATTCACATAATTTAATGCAGATGTGCAATTAGATAGCATATGCTAAAAATTCTAATAACTGCTTTCATGAAATCGATTCTAATTCAACAGGATTTTTAATCGTTACAAACCTTCATAATATTTGATATCATCTTCATTATGGATGAGCATGTGAACATTCTTGGAACCAGTGAAGATACAAAATTTACCGTCCATGAACCTGCAACAAAAGAAGTGTCAGTGTGAGAAAACGTAGTGTGAGTTGTTTCGGATGGATAATTATTGACTAGGTACCTATACGATTGATTAAACTCATGATCCAAAAGTCGGCGATCGTTATGAATGGTTTATTCATACATTTAAGGTCAATAGAAAATGGACAAAGACTACTTGGATTAGTCTAGGGTATTAGTGCCTATTTGCGATTGACCGAAGGCACGAGAAAGTTCGCCCAATTTTAACTACAATATAGGTACACTATTATAATGGACCAATTATTAACTACAATATAGGTACACTATTATACAGGTTATGAGAGGGTCATGTATGTTACTGTCGGGATTGGTATATTACGTTCCCGACATCAGTTAGGATAAAAATAGTTCCTCAGCTCGTCTTGCATGAAACTTTCATCCAGTTCTAGCTCAAGCTGTTACCCATGAATATATACCTACTGTAAAATTTGACACAGACCACGGTGATGACTATTTAGTAAGAATTGATACTTCATCCTTCAATAGTCAGTCAAACAAATTTGAAGTGAAGTTTATTCTGTTCTCATGGATGACAGCATTCAAGAAACCACATTCCTTCTCAAGTATTTTTAGCAGCATGGCTTTATACTCAACTATATTACTTATTTCAACATTCACATGCGTACAACTCACCTGCCACTAAAATGTGCAGCTTCACCATTTACTTTCTCGATGGCAACCACGAGACTAGCTGTCTCAGGGACAGCCAGGAAGTACTGCTTCCATTCTTCATTGGAGTTTGGCTGTTCTTCGTCTTCATCACCAATGCCACCAGTGAATTTACGGTTGGCATAAATTATTGGGTCTAAGATATCTCCAGCTGCAGAGTCATTGCTATCACCAGGATAGCACAACAACGTCAGACCACGAGGTACAAAACGTTGGATGTCAGGATTTTGAGCGTAGATTTTGTCATCCGGACCACGACACTTCACCTTCAGAAATGCAAATGGAGTTGAACTTGAGATTGAATATTTGATGTCAAGGTTTTTCCCCGACATTTATTGGCAATTATAATACGCTGTCACAGGTAGGAGGCATCAAGATAGGCAGAAAAAACATTTCAATGTGACGAGTACCGGTACCTACTATTGAACTTATCATTGATCAATCGATAACTTGATAATGATAATTATTATAAGAAATTTCAGAGTAAAAAATAAAACGAACTTTCACATCCTTAATGGCGAAATTGCGCCCAACACCAACAATCTGTTCAGGAACAACAGCAGGATTGACCACGAGCAAGCCTTTTTTTTCCTTGGAATTGATGAACTGCACCAACCTGAAAGTGGAGGAGTGGGAAGATATAGGTAATAATGAATAAAGTTAATTATTATTAGGCACAAGTTTAATAAAAGAATCCCTGGCTACAGGTTACATACCGGTATACTTACTTTTCAACTGATGCAGCACGTAAATGATTGCAACTTTCCACTTGCTTCTTAATAATATCTTCAAAACTTGCTTGTTCTTCTGCTTTCAGTCCTGTCGTCTTCAACATGGCTGATAAAGGCGTCAAAAGCCCATCTTGTAAACTAAGGAGCATGGTAACTCAGAATAAGAATGTAGGTTTGAATAACCAGTTAAGTGTTCTGCAAATTAAGATTAATATGTTTTATAGGGGAATAATCTAGCATGTGATAAATTTAATTGTCCCTAGATCAGTACCTACCACCATCAAACGGTGTAATAAGGGACGGTTTTGAGTGTTTTTCATTAATAACTTCTTAATGTAAAACATTTCATAAACAAGTTTGGGCTCATTTTACAGCATTTTGCGAGGGCTATCACATGGCGTTTTCAAAAAATTCATATGCTATTTGTAAGAGGCCAGGCGCAAAATAAAATCACCCTGAATCACCTCTGGAAACGGGGTAATCAAGGACACTTGAAATAAAACTTAATTTAAAAACGTTTGGAGCATGCTGAGTGTACCCATCTATTACTAACAGTAATCTGGAGTCCTCCTTTTCCTTTGCAGATGATGTACATGTAGAATAAATGACAATTTCTGTGATATTTACTTGTTTTTCCTTCATTGACATGATTTTACCATATCCATTGAAAAACCCTTATACTGTGGTTTTCAAATCATGGGTTTGGCTTTAAATCCCCGAAAACCCCTTATTCTATGGTTTTCAAACCACGGGTTAGGCTTTAAAACCCCGAAAAACCCTTATTCTATGGTTTTTATTTGAAGCATGCAGAGTGTACTCATCCATTACTAACAGTACTCTGAAGTCCTCCTCTTTCATTGTAGATGATGTAGAGGTAGAATAAATGACATTTCCTGTGATTTTTACTCATTTTTCCTTTATTGATATGATATTACCATATACATTGATTACCATATACATTGATTACCATATTATTGATGCAATATTACCGTATCCATGAACTTGCACATGCCAGTGAGCATTTACAACAACCTTGACCACTGCAAGCTTCATATCAGCAGCCTTATAGAATTTTTTCTGTAACTGTAAGCTTACAGGACGGCTTGTAATTTCACACCATTTTAATTGGGTTAAGTGAATTTACTATAAAAAAGATTGTGAAAAACATAGGTACCTGAAACAGAGAGGAATGTTTTATTGACAACCATCATATTTTTTGCAGAAATAAATCATAGTTTAGGTCAATTACCGGTACTTTTCATTCTATGATGCCTGGTGCACAATTCTATATATGACATTCTATGCACAATTTTGTGATGACCGATGATGCACTAATTTTTTGATAAGTGAAATTTTTTTTGCCAAGCGATGTAAATGTAATCAATACTGTATTCTTTGTTTTCATTCAATTTTTGACTGGAGCCTTTGCTTACTGAGGTTCTACTGTAAATGCGTTTTTGGGGGTGTCCCGAATAGCCCCAGATGGGTGTCCCGAGTAGCCCCGCCGTGCGGAAAAGGCTGCCATTTTTTTTTTTTTTTTGATTGAGGTACCAGTATGTAAAATCTGCAAATGAAGTTTTCAAGCCGACACCTGGGTGCAACTTTTATGTAAGTAAAATTTTTCAATATGGCAAATATTCTTTTTACTACAGACCTTAGCAGAAGTAACTTTTCAAAATAGGTACCGTAAAATGGGGTAACTTTGACCACTTTTCTTTCAAAATGATGCCATTTTTTACTAGATAAGTTAAACTTAAATTGAAACATGCAAAATACAGGTCTGTACTCTAGCTTCACTCACCATAAATTGCTGGCTCCTGCCTCTCATAGTTTTGATGTAATTTGAAAAAAAAGTGATGGTCTTTGTTACCCCAGCTCTTGGGGTTTCTTTGACTGGGTGGTAAAATCAATTTTATTTTTTAGTAAAATAACTCCAAATAACTCCAGGTTTTGGAGCATTGTAGTAGAACTCTCCTAGTTACATATGCAAATGACAAATTTTAGGAAAGTGTCACAGTTTGAAAATTGGGGGCGCCGCCCCCCAATGGGCGAAATGTGACCACCTAATGGCAGCCGTGATGGGGTAACATTGACTGGCTTGGAAATTAAGTTAAAATTACCATATATAAGACTCTGTAGAGAATGAAACGTAAAGAAAAAACATTAATAGGTGTATCAAACATAAAATATGTTATATATATAAAATATGTTATATAAAAACATACCTAGGGTAATTTTAACTTAATTTCCAAGCTGGTCAATGTTACCCCATCATGGCTGCCATTAGGTGGTCAGAGTTCCCCCATTGGGGGTGGCGCCCCCCATTTGCAAACTATGACAATTTCCTAAAATTTGTCATTTGCATATGTAACTAGACAGGGTTGGCAATGATTAAATCAAAATGATTAAATCAAGTGATTATATCACATGATTGTTCTATAAAAAATATTCATAGTTTAGTATAAATGTAGGTACTATGAAAGACAAATTGGTATGTAAACTTGTTGCCTTTAGTGTGTATTAGGTTCCAATAAATTGAATGTTTTTGGTACAGAGGCATCAAGTGTTGCAATACATTGTAGATAGCTAGCAGCTTAGCTAATTCTTAAGGCTATAAGTAGTCTTTAACTATTTTTTATATATTGATTACAATACGTTTACAATTTAAATGTGTTAGCTAGCTTACACAGGGTGGGGCAGAACCAATTGAGCAGTTTTTAGGCAAAATAAAAGAGAAATGGAGGTACATAAAGAAGAAAGTTTATTATCCTCAAGATTAGCATAACATACCATTTAAAATACTTATGTTTTGAAAACAATATCAGGAAGATGGTGCCTGTTAGCTGCATCACACTGTTGGAGTCGTTCTTGGAAGTTTCCTACAGCTTGTTCATATATGGCAAGCATATACGTGCTCAGCACATATGGCGAGGTATAGCCATAACCTCTGCTGCAATAATCCGTCCCCTTAGCTGTGGTAGGGTGTGAGGGCAACTTCTGAACACCCTTTCTTTTAAATGTCCCCAAATAAAGAAATCGCAAATGCTCAAATCAGGTGACCTCGCTGGCCACTGTAAATCACCCCTCACAGACACCAGACATCCAGAAAACATGCGTTTCAAAATATTGAGTGACATTCAAGCCATGTGAGCTTAAGCCCCATCCTGCTAGAACCACATGTCTTCCAATGCTTCATTTTCAACAATGTTTTCCATCCTGGGCTGCAAAAAATTTTGCAACATTGCAGGATAGTGATCGGAATTCACTGTCACGGTTACTCTCTCCTCTGAGAACGACTCCAACAGTGTGTTGCAGCTAACAGCCACCATCTTCCAGATATTGTTTTCAAAACATGAGTATTCTAAATGGTATGCTATGCTAACCTCTAGGAAAATAAACTTTCTTCTTTATGTTATGTACCTCCATTACTCTTTAGTCTTTTATTTTACCTCATAACTGCTCAATCGGCTCTACCCCCATTGAGAGGTTGAGATTGCATTGACCTTATAGACAATTAGAAAAATTTTCCACCCTAATACAAGTATTCAAATTAAAATATTTAATTTCAATCTTTAAATAAGTTCTTTGTAACAAGAAACAAAACAATTACAATCATAAAACTATATATAAAATAATTAAATACAGTGAATGGAAATAAATTGTTTGAATTGTGCACATGTTTATTTCAAAGTGTTAGCTTTTCTCATAACTTAAGTCTTGCTTCAAGTCGTATCATCGTATGAGATTTGCTTGGTTATCGCTCAGTTTATGTTTAGTATTGGTTTAATAGTCTAAATTAAATGGGAACAGTGCAGCCAGTCACTTAGACTGACTTAGTCACTACTACGGTAGTTGCTGTGTATAGAGGGTAGAGTCTGGTAGATTTATAGTACATAAAACTAGTATATCTATTGATAGCGCTGTGCTGCCTGTGCACTGTGCACAGCTCTATTATTAGACAATAGCTGTGCACATATCAGCTACCTATCTGTTGCGTGACTCTTCAATGTTTAGAAGATCTGTATTCCAGAAGTGTTTTTGTATATAGAAGCCAGTTAAATGGTCAATATTTAGCTTGTTACCTTGCTCCATACAAACTTTACAAAGCTAATGAATAGACTTGTCAATAATTGTTTACCCAAAAATCCCAAAGTGGTAAACAGTAAAACACCACCTTAGGCCGCCTGGCCGCCTGTTGCCCAATGGCCATTAATGAAGGCAATAAGTGCCCATTTTAACCATCCATTATGATCCATATAGAATATACTGTTATTGTTAGTAAAAAAAATCATGAACAAATAAAAAATCATTGATTTTTCATTTTTTTTTTTTTTTTCTTTATAAAAAAAATCACCAACCCTGGTCACCCTGGTGTCTGCCATCTGCCCTGGTCATGGCCAAGATATGGAATTCACTGCAGTACCTACTAGGCTACTGCACAAAAATATTGAATCAAGGCACAAAGAAATGGAATCGCTGCTGGCAAATCTATAAAACCAAGGCTCCAAAAATTCAGTCATGGCTCACCAAGTAGCTACATGCATTCCATGCATGATGCCTGCTCTAAGTTTAACCTTGTGAAAACTGAAAATCAGTGTACCTACTAGGCTACTACCGAGTTTCATTTTTATCATTATTACCTAATTTTTTAAACTACTTTTCAGTCTTTTGTTTTGTAAAACACATTCACAGAGAGTAGATATGCGTAGTTTCTGTGCTTAATTATTAAACATAGGATAATCAAAAACGTTACTTTACTAAATTTACTTTCTAAATTCGCTCATCCGCGACATTGCCATTGATCAATCGTTCGGCCACCTCAGAGTCTTCAGCTTCTAACTTCTAAATATTACCCCAAGGGGCCCAAGCCCGGCAGGCGGCAGAGTATGCATAAAACTTTTTTCGGGCGAGATGTCAGTTGACAGCAAGTCATGCAAGTGGAATGCATTTGAAATTATTATTTTAAGCTTCAAGTTTCAACAACGCCGCCAGTTCTGAAGAGAAACGCTGTCGCCCGCCATTTTGCTCCTATCTGGGTTCCACAACAATGTAGTCATAACAACAATGCGTACATGGTAGTTACGGTTTCAGATTAATTCCGTAAAAAACGCGGAGCCGGAATTATAAACGTGATTTATTACCCCAAAACTAGAGACCATGGTTCAAGAATGCTACAAGTTCAATCATGCTACAGACCATAGTTAAACTATATAAGGTTGACGGCGTTGACCCACTAGAAGTTCCACCTCTCAGTTCAGTTTTCTTGTTACGTTACTGAGATCGAAAAACGTAAAGAACCCCGTCATTCCCATGACGGATTGGTTGACTGGTTCGAAGCAATTTCGGTGACTGGTCAATGCCCGTGACGTCACTGAGATCAGTGACGTCACAGGCGAACAACAAGCTTTATCCGCGAACATCAAACTCCTCGTAGGTCAACCTTATACTAATTCAACCATGGTTTCAACTAGTGGAAAGTTGACCCACGAGATTAAGGAGAAGCTCAGCTTTGCGGATGGAGTTTGTTGTTCCGCCTGTGACGTCACTGAGATCGAAAAACGTAAAAAATCACGTATGTCACGTTGTTTTAGTGCCATATTTCATAGTATTTATAAAAATTTTGATCTCCTCAAAATTACCCCCAAACGTCATCCTTTGAAATGAGTCTTCATCTAATCATGTAAAAGTTTTGAAGCGATATTGTCGTGCGGAAAAGGAAAGAATGGGACATTAAACAGACAGGGTCGCCTTCCATTTACATTTCATGATTGGTGAATAGCCATATTCATATTTGCGGCCTGTCCGCTCAGTCTCTCAGACGATGACGAAATAAACGATCAGACGATGGCCTGCAAAGCCCTCTCTACAGCGAATCCTATTTTGTTCAAGTGAGTAAATTTCTACATATCCCTAATTTTTTATGTCAATTTATCCAAAATTATAAATTTTGATACTTTCTCTTGATAAATGAGTGCTCCGGCATATATTAGTGCTCTGGCAATACTTTTAAAATGTTAACAAATATATTATACCAAAAACTAACACTACATAGTGAATAATGAATAACATGTTTTTGACTCTACCAGCTAGATGCATTGGGCTCGATAATCGCTTTTCTGTGATTCTGCGCGAGTATATATTAAAGTATATTATAGCGAATAATTGATTGATGAGTGATGTGTCTAGACTGTTGTCGACGAAAGCTGTTATTAGCTTATAGACTTAGCACGGAAATAAGAAGTTGTGACGAAATGTTCAAAAACTATAAAATTTTTATACATGGCAGGGAAGCTGACTATGTCTCCTTCCATGAGTGAGGAAGCATAAAGCACCAAGAACCTTCAATCACCAGGATTTTATCCAGTGTCATAATTATGAACGACAAAAGCGACTTTTTGTCGCTGAGGAATGAAGTGTGATATGTTGATTTAAGAATCTGGCATGAATATATCAAAACGAAAAGGCACTTGGCGAATCTGGTTGAGGGATCAGTGGTTCGTGTTGATTCCCAGGTCCAACAAGCCATGAATTAACTAACTATGAATTAACGTCCCCTTAGCAACTGGGTAGCCTGAATTGCGACACTAACCGCAATGCAATTGCTTACAGCTCAGAGGGCATCTGAGGAGACTGGTGTAGTTTTTGTGGTCAGTTAGCTGATGTGAATAGGAATAAATTAAACACAAGGAAAATTTATACCGTTTATATTGGAATAAATATACAGAGCAATTATGAAGGACATCGCCTGGTCTTCTGCGGATGGGTAATGCAGCTTCACCACTGAAGGATTCTCACACCTGTTCCGAGAGTTTGTCGATCGTAAGGTTTGAAGTAGCACCGGGCGAATCAAGTACTTCAATTATTAATTATTATTAATTATTAATTATTATTAATTATTAACTATTATTAATTATTAATTCTCAATTATTAATTATAATTATTAATTATTAATTATTAATTATTAATTATTAACTATTAATTAATAATTATTAATTATTAACCATGGGGGCGACTGGCGTCCCCTTTTTCATTGGATTGAATTCCCCGATCACGATTGTACACGTTAGCCTCGATGTGCGCCATATTGGCTCACGGTGAACGCAATATATTCAACGTAGATAGGAACAAAACTGTTTATATTAGAAATGAATTTTCCAATAATCTATATTTAATTTTCAAATTTGAAAATGTTATGAAGGAACTTGTTAGTAAAAAGCTGCAATTATGAAATTTGGGAGAAAAATGCTTTATTTGAAATTTCATATAGTACGAGTACTAGTTATACTGCTGTAGTTGAAAGGTATTAGTGATTGCTTAAGATTTTTTTGCAGTCTTGCGTCAGTATTTAGATCGTTTTTGTATTTCATAGCATGATTGTGATTCACTTGTATAGGCTACATAGCATACTAGCAGGTTAGCCTGGTGTTGCTCGGGGACTGACAATCCTTGCAATATGGGAATCCCGCAACTCCGAATATCTTCATCCCGGATCCCAGCATCTTGTCATTCTGCATCCCATCTTCCGAATCCCTCTTCTGGAATAATTAATTTTTGGAACTTCTTAAATAATATGTTTTGAACTAAATTTCGCCAATCAATAGAATTCCCTTCCAACCAACATTTAACATATGGAACTCCCACGTACATAGTGTTTTTTTTTCAATTTGAGTGACTTTAATTTGTAATTTTCAACATAAATGGCACTGACCAAAGTGAAAATTACTTTAAATTCATAAATTCAACGATTTAAATTCATAAATTCAACCTACCTCCGCCCCTCGTAATTTCATGACTAAAAAATCGCCATTCAAAAATTAACTCAACATCTAGGTAACATCCTGGCACTCTGCGAGTTCGAACAGCCCCCTACATATTTTCGATCCATGGCTTCAAACACGCAAACTTTATAAAATGCGTACCCTTAATCGATTTTTACTCGAATTCCATATTTTTGTTGTGTTTCCTGGTGCATCCAACAAGTTACTGCTCCAAGTTCTACGTGATAACATGAGAAAATATTTTCGCGTCATATATCTGTTTCTATGAGCTAAAAAAATTTCAATACGGAAAAGTTATTTCATATATAAACACTATCGTATAAGAGACTAATAAATCCGAAAAGCATATTCGGTCCTATAAACTGTGTTCGGGCCCCTATTCGCACATTACGTTCGCAAGGTTACCAAATCAGAGTGGCCCAGAGGTTACAGTTCAGAGTACCAGGATTGGCGCAGAGAGGCGCAGGTTCGATCCCAGCTCTGTGAGCCAGTTCCTGGTCAGAATCGGCAAAGAGGCCGGGCGGTTAAGCAGAGCAAACATGAAGCAGTGAGTAGCGAGTTCGAGACCGCAACAAGCTGTGAATGTTCAGCGATGTTAAGAATCGGCGATATGCCTCGTTATATATCATAAAAAATATTTTTATTTTCTATTATTATCAATCACTGAACAGAATTTGCGCAAAGAGAGCGAGCGTTAAGCTCCCAACGAATTCACGCAAAGAAATTATTTCATGATATAATTAATTATTGCAATGATCTTATCTGGACTTTACTAACGGGAAATCTTTCTCGACTTAACATGTTTGCATAGCAACAGGATCGATGACCTCTAACTGGTTACGATGCTCTCAAATATTGAACTCGTCTTCTACTATTTCAAACAATTTTGTTCCCATGAATATCGTGGCTTTCAATTTAGATTTTGATCTGATACTTCACTTTGTAAAATGGGTGTATATTAGTTAAATAATACTGTCACTTTCTGCACTAACTTTGAATTTTGAATACCTGTCATTACAGTTAAGAAATGTTAACGGTTGATTGCCCCGTTCAAGTTTATCGATGTGTAGCAATGGAGGTTGTTGCAATCAGGCTTATTATTTGGTTCCGTGCGCAAACGATATCATTTTATCAGTTAGCTGATACACCTGAGACTTATCTATTTTATGATAAGTACTTGTTTAACTTTTCTAAATTAATGATTTACAGCGTCTTGTAATTAGTTTTATCCGGATCCATTGACTAATCCATATCGTTGTTATTGCCTGTGACTTTTTTATAGCACGTTATTGATGTGACCTTTTTTTATAAGTCAATATAGTTTATAGTGGAATTCTCGTTGTGGTGATCATTGCTCGAAATCTGTTAGATTTATTGTGCGAATACTAATCCGTCTAAATCTATTGCACGTTAAATCCTATAATCAAGCAACTCATATTGGGCATTCATCATTTATTTTTATTGCTGTGTGATTTTGGGGAAGAATTATCAGGGCAATTACATCACATCTATATTTGAATGACAGACTGAATGAATGATATCGAATATAGACCTTATTAATATGAGACCTTAATTAAATAGACCCTAATTAATATGAGCCATAGCAACACGTGACCTTGGAGAGCGTGAAAATTTCACGAAGAGGTTGACTGCGTGACAATCATTCATTATCTTTGATAATGAAGATATATTATATAGATAAGACAGAGAAGCATGCCAGGTGCACAGGGTTAATACAAACTGATATGAAGAACAAATTATATCCTGTTGATAGATGGCCACCACAAGTACTATTATTTTAACAGCTCCTAGTAATTATCGGTTGCCATTTATTGTTAGCGATAAGAATAATGATCAGATACCACACATGTTTGGTATCTTTTACCATTGTAACGTTTACTATAGCGTACAATAAATCTATCAGAATATAACAATAAATGCATTGTTGATCCTTGTCTCTGCAGACATTGGTATATATTCCCACGTTGCGATAACTGATTACCTGATTTCTGTTTTGTGCGGAAAAAACGCATGTATAACTGTTTAATTAATGTTATTGGGAATCCACTGCCCGTCCTCAGAGTGAGCAAAAGAATATCGGAGGCGAAGTCCAAATTCAGCGCTGAAATGATGAAGGAACAGTATAACTCTTAAGACACGCTATGAGCTGCACAATTTCGTAACTTAACAATTATCTTATTCAATTTTTCCAATTTGAACGGCAACAGAAATTAACACAGCAATATCGCAAGTCATACCTCGAAACCTAACCGACACAATGTAGGAGCTGTCAACCGTCAAAACCAGAGTAGCAGACAGGCGCAATAGACCGGGTAGGCCGCATATGTGCATCCAGGGTAAGATGTGAAGGATGCTCGATTATACTGACAGTAATAATAATACTATTAGAACTAAATACAGAGTCTTACAATAGAATTTATGACCAATTCGCATAATATGATTCAAGGACTAAATACGGAGTCAATTAGAACTAAATAAATACGGAGTCAATTAGAACTAAATACGGAGTCATACAATAGAATTTATGATCAATATTCGCAGAATAGTATTCTAGGTAAAATTAATAAATACACAACTTCTAAAATATTGCCATAGACGGTATTCAGAAGTGGCTGTACCGGCCTTTCAGTGACTATTTAAATTAATGTTATGTTAATAAATTAAGGTCTGGCCAACCTCAAGAACGTTTTTAGTAAGAGAGCCAGTGGACACTCTTGAAGAATCTTGAGACAAGATAATGCACTGAGTATTCACATCGTGATCGATAGAATTTGGAGCTGGCTCACATGTCAGGTGCCAGATTTAATCCTTATAAAAAAGCTGCACCTATAACGACGCTGGTGACGTTATGAATAAATTATCCAAGCATCATCATCTTGAAAATTTTAAAATAAATGAAACGTAATTAGGGAAAACCCGTCACTTTTTGATGAATTACATATAATTTTATTTCGTTTTTTCTTCTTTATTTCGTGTTCTTTAATTTTTTAGAAGCCGTTGCCACTGGTGTTTTGCATAGAAGAGAAATACACATTCACTAATTTGTTAACATGCTTTTTAGCAAACAAATAAACGCGTTCGATACCAATAATATGTTGGGCCTGACCAAAAGGTCCAGCTCATGTTGAAAAACAATTGAGAATACTTAGAAATTTTATCATCTATAGATAAAGACAATAACATGAAAATATGTGGGATGAACTAGCAAATTATAAAGTAGCTAAAATGAACTTCCGATATTTAATTAAATAATTCATGTGAACTTCTTCAGGAAATTATTTTAGTTCGTTTTATTCTCATATAAATTTATGCTTGATAAATAGATCATGTATGAAGGGTCTGAGGCGAGGGAATATAACAACGGCGCTAAAGCGTGGCTTAAGTGTCACTGATAAATCCTCAGTTACAACAATTCAATAAATATTTAAATATTTTATTTTAAAGGTATATACGATATTTATGGACTTCATTAGCGTTAATGAGATTTTCTGATCATGCTGCGACAAAATAACAGTAAATAGGAACCAAAGTTCTTTGGATACACTTTCTTCAACAGAAAAAAAATATCTTTTATTGTAAGTGAACGCTGGACTTGGGTTGTCGTACCAAAGTGCATACGCGATTGTGTAACTCAACTTTATCATATGTGGCAAGATATCATTTATTTGGTAAGATTATAAGGATTAAATCGTTCACGCTGCAACTTATAGTCACGTATACCTTCCCTTTTCGATGGTGACATGCGTTTGCTGATAAAATTTCTCTAATATCAGTGGCATTCTGCGCCTATATTCCTGGTAAAAAGTAAGTGGACTTTGCACCAGTAGATTTGTAGTTTGCACTTCTTTAATGAATTAAGAACAGGCACCGGAAATTGCGACTTAAAACTTTCGAATTTATTAAAAAATTATCAATAAACCTGGAAGATTATAAATTTCAATTTTTTCCAGTCTCTGCTTTTATATTGATGTAAAGACTTAATCACTTGCTTGAGGTTGGATGAAAATATGGAAAGTTATATAGCCAAATCTGATATATTAAACTGTACATTTTCGTGAAAAATGTTTTCACAAGGAATTTAATGGAATTTGTAATTTAATGGAATTTAATGAATTTAATGGTATTTTAATTTTAATTTAATTTTAATTTAATTTTTTTTCAATAATTTAATTTTTTTTTTTAGAATTTTAATTTAATTTTTTTAATTTTTAATAATTTTTTAATTTTTTTAGGAATTTAATGTTTTCACATTACAGTGCTCATCCTGCGCAGTGAAATTGCAAGCCCACAATTCTAGAAAGCTCACTCAATTATTTAGGACGTGC